AAGAAGAAGAAGAAAAAGAAGAAGAAGAAGAAGAAGAAGAAGAAGAAGAAGAAGAAGAAGAAGAAGAAGAAGAAGAAGAAGAAGAAGAAGAAGAAGGAGAATAATTATGGGTTAATTTAAATGTAAGAGCTAGTCAGTAATAAGCCTGAGCTAATGGCCAGTTATAATTAATATAAGCTTCTATATGGTAATTTGGAAAGTGGCTGCTGGGTATTTGGGAGTTGTTGTTGGAACAGAAATTTCTGCCAACAGTCCAGGGAGAGCCTCTTGCAGAGAACAAGACTTGCTAGAGGCAGCTGAGATGGGCACTTGTTCCTGGCAGGGAATGGCAGAATCCGTGTGTGCTCTATCCCTCCCTAACCTTCCTTACCACTCTCCCCGGGCTCGTAGACAGTTTTCTGAGTTTTGCTCTCCTCAGCTAGCTTGATGTAGAATTCGCCTATCAGTTTCAAGGGGAGCCATTATGGTGTCTATATTAAGTAGGTTCAAAGAAACAATGTGTGCTGCCTTTGTGTGTGCAGGGGCTAGAAGAAAATGCTTCCCTAATACCTCACGTTTTCTGGAGGCCCGGGACTTGACAAATTGACCGAGGCTTGGAAGTTCTGAAGCGGTTTTTAGAAAATGGTTGAAATGATATAGGGAGCAAGCGCCGGGCACCCGGTCCTACGCGATCTGCTGTCCTGGAGCTTCTCTTTAAAGGGGCATGTCTAAACATCCGTGAACGGTGCTGACACTACAGAAGACACGGGGTTCACCACAACGCTTTCTTGGGCATTGAAAGGCTTTGTACCCATGGGAATGGTGACAGAGAAATCCCCCAAAGCCTCAATAAACCATGCCATCAGAGAGGTCCAACTAAGGCACTGGGCTCCCGAGAGGTTCAGAAAAGGAAACGCAGCCGGAAAGCCCATGAAAGGTCCAATGGCATGAAGAGATGTTTAGCACTCCCGAGGCTGGGTGAGGGAGGAGTCAGTCTCACTGACAGGGCAAGCTGCCCTAGTGAGCCCTGTGGGAGGAGTTTAAGGAACGCACTAGAGAGGAACGCTGGAACTGCGTATACCAAGCAGGTAGGTTCCTGGTGCATTGTGCAGGCCATAGGCTAGCCTCTGGTTGCAGTCCACACTTGGGCTAGTAACTACTACTCCTCCGCTGAGGGTGGCCCACTGCTCTCCGTGGGAGAGGGACAACCCATTTCCTGCTCCGGTTTCAACTCAATGAGCTGCAACCTGTGCACTGGAGAAGGCGCTCCATTACATAAAGTCACAGTTTGTGGCTTTAAGAACCTTGCAGCCTGGGGGCCGGGGAGAGAAATTTCGGCCAAGAGGAGATTAACTGGATACTTAAAACCACAGTCCACCCTATGACTGGGGAAAGGAATACAACTCTACAAATGATCTGAATCCCAGAAGGAGCGCCACTGAGCCTGAAAGCTTCTCGGAGATGGGGCTGGGGCCCTCTTCCTCTCTGCATGGTTGAAGTTTAGTCTGATGCCTGGCACTCGTGTTCAGTAGATGAATGAATGTACAGAGAATGAATGAATGAACACATCTACCCTGTGTTATCTGCCCAGGATATCAGTTATAACGTCTCATAACACTGCACAGCGTTGGGTTCATATTGTTATTCTCTGCTCCTACCCATATTTTGCCCACCTCAATCCTTCTTCCCTGACAGCTCCAGCCCACACTCTTCCCAGACTCTGAATCAGAGTCTGTGCTGCATAATTTAGGTGTCCTGTCTCCTCGCAGCAGTTTCCCGTATACTAGTCACTCGTATGTAGACAATCACATCCCTCACAACACTGAGACTGTATTGACTGTGGGTGCTGTTACAGGCCCGAGGGTGTCATGGAGTGTCCGGCACAGTGCTGGTGTGGTGTACGCAGGCGCAGAGAGCCTCAGTAATGCAGCCTGGTGACAGGAAAACAGAGACAGACTAAGTGTTCTGTGTGAAAGCCTGTGATACAGAGATTTTGAACCCTCTGAGGAAGAAGAGTGTTTTTACTGCAGTATGTGGGATGGATGTGAAATTAAGCACCTGACTGGATTGTCTCCACGGGCCAGGAACCCTCCTTCAGAGAAGCATCATCTCCAGGAAGCTAGGCTTCGGGATGAGCCAGCCTTCCCCTGAGTAGTGAGAGGGGCAGAGTCCATCCTCAGTGTCATTAGAATGACAGAGAAGAAGGGATATTTGGGGGTGCAGTGTTTGAGAGGAACTGTTGACTTCCTTGAAGGGTTCTTGGGGGGAGGAGAGAAGAAATGAGGAACTATTAGAAATATAGGCTTAGATGGAGAGAAAGACAGAGATGCAGGATAGCTTGGGGAGGGGGCTGGGTCAGAACCTAGTCACCTTGTCCTTTATTCTAATGGATTTTTTTTTTTTTTGAGCTGAGGATCGAACCCAGGGCCTTGCACTTGCTAGGCAAGCACTCTACCACTGAGCTAAATCCCCAACCCTCTAATGGATTTCTTATACACTACCCAGGGGAGAGGCAAAAGACCTCGCCCTTTCGAGATCAAAACACAATGTACAGCCAAGTGCAGACCCTTCAAAACACCTGGCAACCATGCCCTTGGCCCAATCATCCCACTATGTAGCCCCGCTCAGATTCTCTGACCTGGAGTAAAGCCATACTAGGGAGCCTCCATGGGCCCCCACATGTGGAAAGAAGGGCTGACTGCCAGCAGACCCATGTTCCTGTTGGGAAATAAGAGACAGATTCTCGTTATCATCCGGCCAATTTCCCCAAGAATTGTGCATTCTACGGTCAGCTAACAACGCTAAACCTTCTCAACTCCATCCAGTAAAAGGCTGACACAGTGCCTTTGGTGCTGGCCTGTGCACTCTTGCAGTGATTAATGCTTCCAGTAGTGATTAATGCTGCTTTTCCTCACTAGATTGTCTGGGGTTGGGTGTCAAGTCCAATAGTTCCTCTGGATTTCCTGATTGAAAGTGCTCTACACACACACACACACACACACACACACACACACACACACACACACGCATAACAACTAACTTCACACAATAATGTATTTTCTGCACACATTTCCTATTTAAGCCTCACAGCAGTCTTGTGAAATAGGTACTGTGATTAACTGCCATTTTCCAAGGAACCTTATACTCAGAGATGTTAACTGATATACCCTAAGGCATACAGGCAAGGAGAAAAAAAGTCAGACCATTTCTTTCCTTCTTGAAAGAATTGCCTGCTTAATCCCCATCCTCTCTCCCTTCCAAATGGTATCCCATGAAAAACGTACACCATAATATTTTAGGGTCAGGCAGACTATGTGTAAGCTGAGTATATGGTGAATAAATGTATGCATTATACAGTAGGCGCTGTGTATGGAGTAAGTGGAAAGGACACGCATTAAGTGGAGGGGGAGGAGCATCTCATTCACGCGGCTGGAGTCTAGTGGGTGGGTGCAGGGCGCTGGAAATCCAGACGCGTCTGATTTGCCCTCTTGCGGCTTACAGTCCACCGTGAGGGACAAACCTAGAGCAACTGCTATTGCAATAAAATAATCAGGATCTTTGTTAAGTGCTACCGAAAAGGTATAGCGGGGAGCTCTGCTCTGGCCCTAAGTTTTAGCAATTCCCACGGTGGGAAGTCTGGCCTCTTTTGGTCAGGGAAGGACACTTTTAGGCAGACTCTCCAAGGAGAAGTCAAGACAGCAGAGCGAAAGAAAGAAAGAAAATTATTTCTTCCGAAAAGAACTTCACCTAGATGACTGCGGGAAAGCAAACGTGGAGGTAAGAGAGAAGCCAGAAGCTAGTCGCTGTCAACGGGCTCGGGCA